GGGGTATTCACCCTTTTCCAGCCCCACAAAATCACAAACAGAGCCCATGGCACAAGAGTCAGTCCTGCCATTCTCACCCATATGGGGCTGCGTATGGGGGGTTGGAGCCAAAGTAGGACTAGTTGTCATTTTCCAACATGGAAAATGATGATGAGAAAAAATGTGATGAGGGATAGGCAGAAGCAATGTTAGCATAATGCATTTTGGGCATGGAGGAGCAGAAGGGACCCATGCTGGAGGATCTTGGTGAGATGGCAGTAGTAATTTTACTTACCTAATAGATGCACAGCATTTCAACTTTGCTAATTAACAGAACAGCAGGATTGTGATTCTGACAGCAGTTGGACATGAATGGAGTAGGATTAGCACTGAAGCCAATGAAGCCTGCCTTTGTCCTTAAGTGGAAGCACAACACCCACCCTGGGTCAGGTCCATGAGGGTGCCTGCTTGCTTATTTTGTTTTCTCGTACAATAAGAACAAGGAGCTAGGGGCTTTTATTTCTTCCCAGGGCTTCTTTCAAAGTTTCAAAGAGCCTACTCTTTCAATGGGTTATTTTTAAAGAAGAAGGTTGATCTACCATTGATCTAGTGCTGTGATAGTGAACCTTTTAGAACTTTCAGTGATAACAAAAACCCACTGTGGTATGTGTGCCATAGGTTCCCCACCACTGGTCTACCTGTCTTGGGTGTTATGGTTTCTACCTAAACATCCCCACAAAGCCTCCTGCACTCATAGGTGGGCTTTTGGGAGGTGATTGGATGATGAGAGCATGATACTTAGCAGTAGATTTGCCCACTGATGAATTTATAGCTAAATGTGACATTGGGACTGAAACTTCTAAAAAATGTGAGCCAAAATTAATCTTTCCTCCTCTAATTTGTGGATGTCAGATATTGTGTCTCAGTGATGAGAACGTAAGGTATGGTGCTATCAAGTGTATCTTGTTTCACAAATAGCAGATGCAGTGTAAGTCTGCCTCCCTCAAGGTGTGTTTGCCTCACAGAAGTTCCTCTTTGACTCTTCTCCTTTTTTTGCTACCTGCAAAATGGGGTGACTTGCCCAAAGCATCCAGATCCTAAACAGATTCCAGGAAAAGAATAGGAAGCAAGAAAAGAGTTGTTTTATCTTCTCCCAAACACAGTCCTGTTGGGGCATGTGCTCCCAGTATTTCCTTTGAAACCATATTGATTGGATAATTTGAGGATCTTAAAAGGCAATTAATTATGAAGAAAGGGTTCAGAACTTCTCAGAGTATTAGAGCTGATGATACCTAGGAGATTATCTACTCAAATCACCAATGCTTAGTGTGACAGGTGAAGCCACTGACTTTGTGTAAGTAGCTGTAGGAAAGGTTGACTTGCATTGAGTCATTTATTCTTTAATCAGATATTTATTGAATATCTGCAATGAATCCACATGACATCTACCTGATAGTGAAAACATGCTGCTATTTCATTGGTCTTGTTTGAGTTGGCATTCAGTGAACTTACCTTTATTATATATTCTAACAGCTGGTTTCTCAAGGGCCCTGGGGGAATTGATACGTAGAATCTTCAGCCAGTGCAAATAGGTTTTATGTATAAGGTCACCAATTTGTGAGCTGCTGGGATAATTAGTTTAGCTCTTCTTGGCTTTACATAATACATGTGTTGTAGAAAAGTTATTCATAATTCAATTTTTGGCAAATGAAAGGCTAATTTAAAACATTAGGGGAACTTTTATTTAAAGAGACCCTGGAACAACCATTTTATAATGTCAAAAATCTTGTTGCTGATGTTGGACATGATTATTCCCTAGTTATGGATTTTATAAATCTGCTGTTTTGTTACAGTGAGCACACACCCAGGCAAGTAGTCCAACAGTGGTCTGAACTGAGCCAGGAAGGACAGTGGGCTGGAAAATAGGAGCTCTGAATCCTTAGAACAGTACAGCCCAAGACATTGACATTTACTGGAGCTCATGATGACCAGCTGTATAGACAAGTTATGCACTGCCCTGCAGGTCCTGGACCTTGGATTGAGAAGATGTGGAACACAATAGATATAAGGAATGAATTCAGGAACTCTGTTGCTCTCTGTATAGATGGATATGGGGGAAGAGATAGGATGAGAATCCTTCCACTTACATTATAGCAAATTGAAAACTCTTCCTTAAAGTCTGGGCATATTTGGAATTAGAGCCTTCTTGTATACATGGTAGGGGAGGAGAAGAGCAATAGGAAAAATGGAATGGAAGTTATGGGAGAAGAGGGTTATATAAACTCTAGTTATGCAGTAAAAGCATCATTAGTTTGGGACTTGCTTAGTTTGAATTTATGAATAATCTAGAAAAAGGCATGACTATATTTAACTTCTCTTGTTAAGATTTTTTTCTATATAAATTAAATTGCATAATGATGTGAAGGAGAATGTTTAAAACTGATGAAAGATATATTTCACATATGGAAATAAGCTACTTTGATGCCGAAGCATTATTTTACACAAGCAGCTTCCATGTTAAAGATAGTCTGTGATTGGTAAGGCTGGAGAAGCTTCTTTGCCAGGAATCAAAAGTGTCTCCTTGCTGCATTAAGATGAAAAACAAACAAAAAGCAGAAACAACAACAAAAACTTCCTATCTGCTTATAAATTCTATAATAATATTGATCATAATTGGTCTCTATTAGTGAGATTTTATTAGCTTTCTGTAAGATAAGGTTAGAGCATAAATATCTGCTTAAAATAAGGCTAGAATGTATAAAACAATGCTGTTTTCTCTGAATAGAACTTTTATATTTACAGGGTTTTTTTTTCTTCTGCTGTCCAGTGAGACCTGAATTTAGTTATTCCAGCATAGGGTACCATGTCAACTTGTAGAGAGAAGCAAATACTTAATAAGAAGACTTGTCTTCATTTATGTAGGGACCTGTTGGTTTTACTGTGATTGGTTTTACCTGGGAAGAAACAGCAGCAGGAATGAGAAAAGATAAGCAAGAAGACAAAAGCTAGGCTAGGTGACTATTAGTCTGCCTGATAGGCAAGACTAACACAACTCCACAACAAAACCAACTTTTATTTTTACCTTTGCAGTTAGTAACACATGACACAAGGTTGTCTAGTGACCAATAGCTGACCTTAACCAGACTGGATGTTTATCTCAGCACTGAGGTAGCTTGTTTGCTTTAGGCATTGAGGCCTAGTCCCATCTATACACCTTTGATCAATTTCCTAGTCTCTGGGGCTCCCAATTTATCCCCCTTTTTTGTTTTGTTTTGTCAGAGATGGGTGTTCCGTTGCAATTAGAGAAACTGTATTTGGAGAAGTCTTTAAAGAACGTTTTTATACTTCATGGCAGTCCAAATATTGTAGGTACTTGAATTTAGCAATATAACCATATAATCCAATAGTCTATAATAGTAGTAAATTGAAGCATTAAAAAAGAATAGATGAAATTTATCAAAGACACTTTCAAAGTGTTTTGGGTCAGCTTCCATAGACTATAATATGATGGGAACATCTGTCTCTTTCTCCTTGGTGGAATGTGCAAAGGCCCCACTTCTTATTCCCTAGGCTGGTTTTCTTTATCCTGAATTGTTGCCAAATATGCCAGGTGCTCTCTTGAGAGAGTAAGTATCTTGAGGTTGAGGTACTGAGTAGTATTGTTCTGCCTAGTATGTTACTGTCCTGTAGGTTGTTAGATTTGAATGCCAAGGGAAAAGCCAAGTGGACAGAGGCACTAGAAGTAGGTTTCTGTAATCCCTGATTCTGTTGGACTGAGATGACATAGAACTGCTTGGCTTCTGGAGTCAATGTGTGCCATGTTCCCTAGTGGTGATCCACACCAGAGATCTCAGCTGCAACTTAGAGTGTATAGGTATGGGTGGTTCTCCCTAAGAGTCTTTGGGTTGCTTGGGTTAAGTGAATGGCATACAATGGGCTGACCTGGGTTTTTTTTTATACATGTGTGGAATGTGAGTCCTTCCTTCCCATATGTCTCACACCCAGTGGGATTGTCATTTGTCTTCTCAGGCTACTGTTTCTCCAAGCATACCTTTTCCCCCCATTTTTCAAGAGCCCTAGGACTGTTCTTCTAGACCTTAATAGGAACTCAGCCAGACCCTAGAAAGAACAACTAAGAAGTAAGACTTAGGTAGAAAATGAGCCAAAGTGAGTGTCGTGCCTTCTAGGAGATTTGTGTCTCCCCATGTCCTATCTGTTGTACACTGAGGATGATAACATTGTGAGGGAGGAGGAGGAGATGGATTACACAGGGGTATTTCCATGACTTTTGTGGGTTGTGTTGTTGTTTGGTTAGTTTTGTTTTTTTGAGACAGGGTCTCTCCCTATGTAGTTTAGGCAGACATTGAACTTACTATGGAGTCCAGACTGGCCTGGAACTCAAGGCAATCCTCCTGCCTCAATCTCCCTAGTGCTGGGATTATAGGTGTACACCACCTTGCCTCACTGCCATGGCCTTTGTTTCTGGCTATGAAACTATTGTGGTTTATTTTTTCTTTTTGTAAAATTAAAGCAAATAATTCCTATGCTACTTAGAAGGAAGTCAAGAAGAATCAGTTAGGGCATTGTAGTCCATCTTGACATCAATGAACCAATTCAACAGGCATTTATTGAGTGCTTACTGGGCGCTAGACACTGTGCTAGGCTCCAGAGACACATAAATCCTCTCCTAAAAGTTCTTCCTCTTTTGAGTTGCTCGACAGCAACAGACTGTAAGTGCTGGGCTTAGGGCATGGAGCTTTGTATCAGGAATGAGAGGTGATTTGGATTGTTCTCTCCTCGAAAGGGATGAAGAGGAATATACTTAGGGTCACGTCTGCAAGTTGACATGATTGGGAATTGTCCTTTCTATTGAGGGCCCTTGCATTGGGCTGTGTTGCAGGCTTTGGTTAAAGCAGAACTTTCTGATGAGTGATGGATGAGGTTGGGAAAGTGCAAGTGGAACTCAGGGATTCAGCCAGTTGACCTCTTTCCCTCTGATCTTCTGTTTCATTTTCCTACAGGTTCTTTTCGGAATGATGGTTTGAAAGCTTCTGATGTCCTTCCCATTCTAAAGGAAAAAGTGGCCTTCGTGTCTGGTGAGTATCTGAAAGCATTAATGGATATGAAGAAACTGTGTGTGTACACACACATTCAGACACTCATTTCTTTGTGTATTAGTGTGAGAAAAGTTGGGGTTGATGTTCTGTTTAGGGCAATTGCTTCCTTTAAGAAAGGCAGATGAGCAGAGAAAGGAGGAATCTGGTCCCTGTTTGAGGCTGTGGAGGATAGTCACTGTCACAGGTGGGCTTCAGATGTCTTATATACCTTCCCTACCTCACATTCCCTGCCCAAGCAGCGGCTCTGAGGCTATGGGAGAGAGGCTCTGGTCTACCTCACATGTTCTCCCAGGTTTTACTTGGGTTTATCTTTGTGTAGATCATAGTTTAAAAACTTTGGCCCTCCCCATCTCTGTTTCCTGGCAAAGAGAGCTCAAGTATTCATATTTAGATGTGTTCATCTTATTTTTTTAACTCATACAAATATTTATTCCTGAATTTTCTACCTATCCCATCTTGCATACCTGGATTTTGTGACATGTAATTCAAGAGTCAGCAATTTACACCTAGGTCTGTGGGCCAGCCACCAGTATTTGTAAATAAAGTTCTATTGGAACCAATCCACATGTGTTTATTTGGCTAGTGAATTTGTTTCCCATCACTGCTGTAACAGTGCCATAAACATGTAGATTCTACTTCAGGCATCCTGGATCAGAACCTCTGGCAGTGCCTGAGGCCAGGACTGGGTGATGGGAGTTGAACAGCCAGGAATCTCATCCTCAGAGGCACAATCAAATGTAATGCCATGTGCACTGAGCCTGTATTTCTGGATGATTTTTGTTGTGTACATGGAGGGGTGTGGAGTCAGGTCAAGAGGCAGTACCTTACCCTAAGTGCAGGGGTTCACTCCATAGGCACTGCTGACCTATCTAATAAGCAACAGCCAAAACAGAGAGGAGAGAGGGGACAGTTTAGGGAGAAAGGGACATCAAATACCAGTTGTTCCCCACCTCAACAGAGAAAGATAAGAGATGAATAAAATAGACTGTCAGTGTGGGAGGTGAGGCAGGCATGGGATGGGTCTATGGATTTCTTTGTCAGATGCTAAATGAATTCAGTAGTAGTAGGAAGGCTATTTTATCATTGCTGTTGTCATTAAGACAACATTCACCAGGAAGCTGCCTTCCCCCATTAGGGCCTAGGATCAGGTGTTGGCAAAGCTGGTTGTGTAGTGAACTTTCAGGCACTAAGATCTGACACAGGCTGAACAGTCCGTTAGGAGGACCCTATACTGTGATTTTAGTGCAGGCAGAGGCCTGGGTATTTTGCTAAGCATGTGCGAAGACTTTGTGTAGAAGTCTTGGAGGATGCGGAGAAGTATCAGCCAGAATAATTCTGCTCCTCACAGCCTGGGCTTCCAGGACACAGCCTATAGCCATTCTCTTCAGTTTTATGGCCCTTAGTTAGCCTTAGATTTTTTTAAAAAATAATTTTATTGAGAAACAAACAGCAGTGAGACAGTTTCAAAACTGATTAGTAGGACAGTTTCAATAATTAATACAACAACAAAAGGATACAAAGGAAAGAAAGATCATTTTGTATTTATATAGTCAACATAGTTAGGATAAATTTACAGCTACTTTCGCTTAATTCAATGAGAAGAAAGAGGTGTACTAACAGTGTTTGGACAGAATATCCTCTCCGCTTCTTGTACTATGGATAACCACTAAGAAGATAACAGTGTACAGTATATTGATTATTAAAACTGTCCTATTAATCAACTGTGAAACTCAATAAAAAAATAAAATAATTAATACACTGTGTATGATTTGTCTTCTTAGTGGTTATTCGTAGTAAAAGGTGCAGACATGATATCCTGTCCACAAACACTATTAGTACAAATCTTTCTATTCATTGAATTAAGAGAAAGTAGCCTTAGATGTTTTGTCCCTAGGTATCCTACTGATCTTCCCATATCTCTCATGTCTGGTAGTTCCTTCCCTTAAAATGCTTTCCCCACATCTGCTGGTTTGAGTCTGTCCTTTCCAAGTTGCTTCCTACTTTGCCTCCTCTAGCAGGCCTTTCAATAATTTATTGGATTTATTGCATAGCCTCTGACACCATCCTCTTCTGTACCACTGCAGGGCATGTGAGGGTAGACATGGTACACTTTGTTATGAGAAACTCTCATCTGATTGTTCATGGCTGATTTTTCCTGAGCCATATTTAGTTAGAGCCCTGAGAGAGGGTCCAGCAAGCTCTAGGAGAGACCTCTCAAAGTAATCAGGTCTGGTCTTCATGAAGCCCTACAAGCAGTGTGGCAGGAAAGCAGTGAGGAGTCAGACAGAAAGTTCAAGCAGGATGGAGGAACTGGGCTGTGTAGCTCACTCCTGGGTGCTTGTGTAAACTGATCAGCATGGGGTAAGATTTACTCATCTATGCCTCACGACGTGGGACCTCCAGGCTTGGGGAATGGCATGGCGCCCTTCTGTGCCTGAGAAGGACACCAAGTATGCCCACGTGAGAATGACTGGCTGCATCTATAAAAAAAATAAGACCAAAAAAGCCCTGTATATCCTGAATTTTCAGGAGAAAAAACACAAAAATAAAATAATCCCTGAATTAAATGCAGTAGAATAGCTGCATTTCTTTCAGGAAGAAAATAGTAAAGCAAAGAAGGTGACAGGCAGAGAAACAGGCCATTCATATGTCAGTTCTCCCCGCCAGCACCCTGGCTTTGTCCAACTAAAGGCAAATTGAGGTGCTATGGCAAGGGACATTTGGAATAAGCCAGGGCTGCCCAGCTGCTTCTGTGTGTAGCCACGTGGGCTGTGTGAGGCAGGGAGTAGCTGTCCCTCAGTGAGCCTCTCTTGCTCCAACCCTGCCTTTGCCCAGCCCACTTTGTTATTCATAGCTCCTAGGCTCCCTGGCCTTTCTGGGTTCCTCTGTGCTTCATGTGTCTCCTGATCACTCCACCCATTGTCCCCTCTATCAACCTTCACATGCAGGGTGTACTTCACACTGGCATCTTTGTACACATACCTGGTGAGTACTAGCATGATGAGCTGACTGCCTCATTTTGATCACCTCCTGAGGAGTCGTCTCTGCTTCCTCATCACTGATTGATACCATGTGCCATTGTTCCAGGGAAACTCTGTGGCACTGTGGCACATTTTCCTGTGCTATGGACCCAAGTGTCTCCTACTAAATAACAATCCCATGAGATGATCCTCAAAAAACAGAATGGGATTCTACTCTCAAATAAATCTGGAAGTTTTGCATATTAATGTCACCCCTCATCTGTAGACTTGTGATATCCTAAAACATGTTAACATTATAAGGCTCTAGGGAGTGCTACAGTAAAGGACTTTATCTTTGCTGATAAACAACAAGTTTGTGTTGTATAGGTGAAGGGCTCCATTTTTTCCTCCCTTCATGCCATTACTGTCACCTTTCCAAAACATGGGTACTTTTGTTTACCACCCTCTGGAATGCGTTTCCATCACTTCCATAATGACCAGTGCATTTAGTGTGTGGGGTTCTCATTCTTCATCTCTGCTTATTACTCTGAAATTTCAGTATCCATGACAGTTATCCATCAAATCCTGTAGTTTCATGTCTGCTTGGTCTCTGTCTTAGTTACTTTCCTCTCTCATTGTTAAGAAAAATTCCTGACACTAAAATTAAGCAAGGGAAGGTTTATTTAGCTCACAGTTTGTGGAGGTTTCAATCCATAATCAGCTGGCTCCAAAGCAGGGTGGCAGGCCACAGGGCAACAGTTAATGATGACAGAAGACAGCAAAAGCACCAAGAAGAAAAAGGGGGAAGAGTGAGCCTATTTTCCCCTCTCATGTTATAAGCAGGCTACCCCCATCTGGGGGTGGTATAGCACCCACACCATCTCCCTGCCCTCTTACACAGGCTCAGGATATTTACATGAAGACCCTGGCCCCATGCTGAATAACAGTTTAACTTCTAAACTTCTCAAATTGACACAGTATATCAATCAGAAGAGCCTCCTTGGCACCAAAGTCCTACTTCCTCTCAGAGGCTTCTGTATTCTTGACACTTTGATATATCTTTCTATATTCTCCTCCAATTGATCTTTTATGGTGTCCTCCTATCAGCTGGAAAAGGATGGATATCAGAGGACCCTCTTCTCTGAAATTTCATGATCTAGCAGGACCCACCCTCCATGTGTCTTTTCCAGGTACACCATGCACTGCTGCTATTCTCCAGTAAGGAAAGTTGAGGCCTAGTGTAGGAACCATGGGCAAAGCACTCAACCCATGCCTTAACACCCAAACCATGTGCAACCCTATGGGGAAGCTCTATAATACAGTTTCTTATTGTTCTCTTTGGTAGCTCAAGTGAAACCTGACTCAAACATGTGATCTGTCTCATTCACCTGAAGATCAGCATCCCTCAGGCAGGCTGAGATTTTTCTTTTAGTAACAAATCTCTCTCTCTCTCTCTCTCTCTCTCTCTCTCTCTCTCTCTCTCTCT